GGCATTTCTTCTCCTTTCTTCAAAACTCAATGAAGAACACGTCCTCTGAGCCTCTCCTCCTTGTGGTCCATCCTTCCACCAGGGAAAGTAGCAGATATGGGTGAGCGTCTTATCTGAAATGCTTCAGATTTGGGAAGAGCTGCAAATGCCCAAGAAAGATGTCTTCGGGGTGGGTCCTGGGGCTAAGCCCAGTGTCCACTGACACTGCATACACACCTTTGCACACAGCCTGAAGCTGACACTTGCATTATTTTTAGTGCACCAGTGTTTTGACTATGATCCATCCCAGGAGGTCAGGTGGGACATTTTCCACTTGTGCTGTCCTGCTGGTGCTCAAAATATGTTGGGTTTTGGATTTTGGACCTTGGATTTTGGGCTAGGAATGTCCAGTCTGTACTATACTTTTTTTTGAGCCCCCATTTCTGTTTCCCTCATCACACCTGGGGAGCTCCTGGAAGATGAAGCCTGTGCTATAGTTTGTATCTGGCTTGTCCCCCAGATTCATGTGTTAAAGACTTGGTTCCCAGCCTGTGTCACTAGTGGGAGGTGGCGGGACCTTTCAAAGGTGGAGCCTAATGGGAGAGAGTGAGACCATCAGGGATGTGCCCTTGAAGGGGAAATCGGGATCCCAACCTCCTCCTGTCTCTCTCTGCTTCTCGGCCACCAAGAGATAAGCAGTTTTCTCCATCCCATTCTCCCACCAACATGTGCTGCCTCACCACAGGCCCATAGCACTGATGCCAGCCAACCATGGACTGAAACCATAAGACAAACCTTTCCTCTTGATAAGCTGATTATTCCGTGTATTTTGTTACAGTAATAGAAAGCTGACTGACTGAAGTTGACTAACCTGGGGAACTTATTTACCTTTTTATCCTTATGCTTAGACTGCCCTCTGCTAAAGGAATGGGTGACCCAGAAAAGACCTGGAATGTTCTTTCTGTCCTTATTTTCTGATGGTTCTCCATCAACTTGAGCTGAGGCAGGCTGAATCTTATTGCAATTCCTCCCAGGCACTTCTCCTTGTACCCCCACCTCAGTGAGTCACTGAGCCCAAAGCTCATCCCACTAAGGAATTCAAGAAAATGTAAATCTCTCACATTTTTCGAATTTATGGAAAAGCAACTAACAAACCAAAATTAAAGTCCAAAACCAAATGCCTAGGCCCTCAACATGTTCACCGTGTCAGAGACGACTAAGCTCTAAAGAGAGGGCATCTGGTTCTGATTGGCTGTTGGAACAGGGATGCTGGCCTCTCCAGGGCCTCTGAGCGGTCACAGCTACAGGGTAGTGTGACAGGGCCCGGAGGCCAGGCAAGTCACCTCTGGAGGGGAGGGCGGTATTTGATTGCTTTTGCAATCTGGGCCGGGTCAAACATCTGGACAATTATGGAAGAATAATCCATAAACTGGTGCATGGCCTCAAAACTCCTGGTCCTTCCACTGAGGGTGGGGACACACGGACACATTGCTCCAATTTTTGCTCAGGTATTTTATACCTCGTAGAATAAGACGTGGTGTGGATGGATGAGCAGGTCCCCAGACACCTCAGAGAGGCCTGGGGAGGACGAATGTGCCTGCTGGGGCCTCCGTCTACTTTCTGCCTGGAGGTCCGGCCTAGATGGCCAGCTGTCCCCAGTGGGTGGAGGACAGCCATGCTGACCAGAGGCAGGCCTGAGCCAGGCTGGAGCAGGGCCTGAGGCGCAGGCTTCCCTCTCTCCACTAGGGAGTGGGCAGCAGGAGGTCCAGCCCCAGGTTGCAGCGTGCAGGGGATGCTCCCCTCTCCCTGAAGGGCCTTCTGGTGAGTCTCCTGCCCGAGGTGGTCTGGACGGGTAGTTGGGTCCAGCCCAGTTTGGTTCAAGGTGGTCCAGTGAGGCCCTGGCTTCCAGACCCACCTGCAAGCCATCCTTTGGCAGTAACGGCTCTGACTGTTGTGATGTGCTAGCCATTAAGGGCAGCTGTGGATAGGGTGGGGGACACAGGCTGGGCTCCCTCTGTGCACGCTCCAGCACAGGCTCGAGGCCCCCACAGGCAGCACTGCCCGCTGCTCCCTCCTGCTGCTGGGACTCCCCATCAGGAATTCTCTCCTTTGGGTCCAGGTGGGGTGCTTCCCTGGATGGTTCTGAGAGAAGGAAGACATTAAGAAAATGGTGTCCAGTTCCCACCAGAGGATTGATTGGTCCACCCTCTCTCCCTGCAGGGTCTTTGGGCTCCAGGCTGGGGACCAGAGAACAGAGGATGTGCTGATGGATCAGGGCTGAGGAGGGGGAGGCGGCAGGGAAACCCAGACATGGGGTAGGGGGGCAATAGAGGCATCTCGGCAGCTTTCTGGGAAGGAAAGAGATAAGAGCACAGGGAATATTCGAGAATGGAAGAAGAGAGCAGAGGGAGCAGGGGCATCGAGAGAAACCCCGCCCCCTGCCCTCCTGTCCGGCCCACAAGCTCCTTAAAGGCTGACCCGAGCTTCTAGCCTCTCACCCTTCCCAGCCGGCCTGTCACATAGGAGGACCAAGGTGGGGGGAGGATCTATGCAAACCTGGGTTCCTTAACTCCCGAAGTCTTGATGGTCTCGCTGGTAAAATGGAGAGAACTGACTGGTCTTGTGGCCACATATGGAAGGAACCAGTGTGTGCTATGGAGAACACCTTGACCCTTGACCCTCAGTGGCTGCAAGGGACTGGCCCAGGACCCCCTGCAGACACCCAGACCTGTTGGAGCTCAAGTCCCTTAAACAAAATGGCAGAGGTTTTGCGCAGGATTTTAGTTTCTGAATTTTCTCATCCTCTGGGTACATCGAGTCATCTCTAGGTTACATCTAATAACAGGTTACATCTGATAACATCCAATACGACAGGAATGCCATCTAAATATGCTATGCTGTGTTGTTTAGGGAATAATGATGGGAAGAAAGTCTGTTCATGTTTGGTACAGATGCACCCCCCGCCTCCAATATTTCTAATCCACAGTTGGTTGAACCCTTGGATGTGAGATCCACAAATATGGGGGCTGACTCTTCTAGTTTCTCAGAGGCCATCGAAGAAAACTCACCAGGTCTCCTTTTACCCTCGTGTGGAATAGAACTAAAATAAGATGCTGCAATCCTGGGAGGTGGCAGTAAGGGCTCTGGTGGGAGCCACAGGCCTTGGCTTCCATCTGTGAATTGCTGCTGGGTTGGGCCAGAGGTGGGCAGCAGCGGGGGCGGGGAGGGGCCAGGCTGGTCTCTGAGTTTTCAGGTAAGTGCTCTGACTTTTTTATTTGGAGGGCAGATGGGATCGACATACACTCAGGCTACAATCACACAAGAGTGTTTTTTAAAAACAAAAATAGGCAAGTGATATACAAACATTGCTTTTTAAAAAAGATTTTTGGAGTTGTGGATGGACAGAATGCCTTTATTTTGTTTATTTTTATGTGGTGCTAAGGATCGAACGAACCCAGTGCCTCAACATGCTAGGCAAGCGCTCCACCACTGAGCCCCAGCCCTAGCCCCAAACATTGCTTTTTGATGATTTATACCCAAACAAATCATTTCGGAACACCACAATCTAAGAAAAGTATAAAATGAAAACCACATAAAAATGCAAAGCATCCCGCAGGGTGTTCACTGTCTCAGGAGCACAGGCCTTTCCCCAGGGGTGGCCTGTTCATGGGGTGAAGGGGCTGAGTGTGGCCGGGTTTGCACTCTCACCACCGCGGCCTCTGTTAGGGAGCAGCAGGGCGACTCGCATGAACAAGGCTGTCAGTGAAGAGAGACAAAGAGGGACTACGGAAGTACCCGAGTGGACGTGTGTGCCCATGTTCTGCCTTCAAGTCCTGCCCACCCACTCACCGGGGACGACAGACGTGTCTGTGAGACTAGTGGTGGCCAAAGCCAGGGGGCGATGAGGCCCACACGGGGCCTGGCTTGGCTGTCCCTTAAGAAACCAGCAGTTCCTAGGAGCGGGGGCCTGGCCGGGGGTGGGGGGCAGTGCAGGGTTTTGTGGTGGTGGCCCCCTGTGATGAAGCCAAGGACCCCATGTCACAGCTCTGCAGCACACAGAGCCATGAGCCTCACACACCTGCAAAAGCAGGAGTCCCACAGGAGCTGGTGCCCGGTGAGCAAGTCCCCCAACAGAACCGGTTGTGCAGAACCCCAGTGTTCTGTGCTTAGGCTGTTTCATGGCTGCGTTTTACCTGAGGTAAGATGAGGAGTGATGCTCGCAGGGTCCATCCTGTGGGATAAGAATGTGCCCATGTGAAATAAGATCCAACACACAGTAGTTTAAAAATGTCACTTTAAAGGAAAAAAAAAAAGATTCCCTTGGTTTTCCTCGGAACTGTACCCGTGCTAATGCATTCATGTCCCAATGGCCTGCCGTCTTAGCAAAGTCTATTTGAATAATTCCATGTGCGCTTGTGGCCTTGCACTGGGATTCCACTGGAGATCCGGGACTGAGACAAGGAAAACCCCACACCCTTCCCAGACCCATACCTGGTCTACAACCAGAGCCACCCAGTCTTGTCCCCTAACCGTATCTTCACCTTGAACTCTTAAAACAGTCTTTCAAAATGGACACACACAGAATCGCCTGTACTTATGGGTGTCATGTGACAGTTCAAGACATGTAGACATGGGGCAGGGAGTCAGGCTGAGCCCATCCATCGCCTCCAGCATTTGTCATTTCTTTGTGGTGACAATGTTCAAAATTCTTGTAGTGTTTTTGAAATGCACACGACGTTATTCTGTCCGTAATCACCGTGTGGTGGAACGGGACACCCGCACTATTTCTCCTACCTAACAGCGGCACATCTTGCCTGTCCTCCCTGCTCCCAGCCTCGGGTGACCACGGTTCTATTCTCAGCTTCTATGAGATCAATTTTTTTTTTTTTGAGATTCCATATCTGAGTGAGATCATGTGGTATGTCTTTCTGTGCCTGGCTTATTTCACTTGACACAATGTCCTCCAGTTCCACCCATGTTGTTGCAAATGACGGAATGTTGTCATTTTTATTTTTTCACAGATCCAACTCATTTGTTTGGAAAGGGATCCTTGTGGAGTGGCACCTTGGAAAGCACCCATCTGAAGCAACGTTGTGTGGATTGGTTATGATTTTCCCAGGACATGTAAGTAAGGTAAGTAAATTTACCATGCTTTAACACGAGTGTTCCTGTTGTAGCCACCATGCCAGGTGGTCATCCAGCCAGGCACCCCGGGGAGTCCAGCTGTGGACAGAGGTGGGGACAGCTCATGTTCTTCCACTAATTCTCCCTGAATCTGGGTCTCACCTCTGAGTTGTGGTGAGAATCGGGCAGAGAAGGGTCCGTGGTAGCATCCTGTTGCCCGGACCCTGTACTAACGGAGCCTTAGGTGTGCTGTGCCTCCTTATAATCGGGTCCATCCACACTGGCTGGCCGTCGCAGAGGCAGAGTGGAGGAGGTCCAGGGAGGGAACTTGGCCCTACTGGACAGCTCTCAGGAAAGCGAACACCATCCCCGATGTCTCAAACTCCCCAGTGGGTCCACTTATTTTTCTCTTTTGTTTACATATATTTTCGTCTTCTCGCGGGGAGGTTTCCAGATGGAATCCTTCAGGTTGTATGAGAGACAGTCAGGTTCACAGACTATTCTATCTTCAGCATTTCCCCCAGTTTTGTGGCCAAAAGTTTGAAGATGTTTGCTTTCCGAAGGCAGACGTTCATTTATCTTTTGCTTCAGCAAATATATAGTCCACGCTGGCCATAGGCAAACGAGGAGTGAGCCAGGCACACAGTAAGTCCTGTATCTACAGGACTTGGTCATGAGGTCCAAAAATCTCTGTATAAATAGTATAAACTAGATTTCCAGCCCAAAATGGCAAGCATCATGTATTTGACAAAGAATGTTTATACAAAAAAATAGTATTCTTCTAGTAAAGTGATGTTTAAACAATTTACAGTGGATGATTGTTGCTTATCAAGCCAGTCAGTTAAATATAGGCATCCTGATTTGGGACAAAGAGATGGAGATGAGCTCAACCTTTCTGATGTCTGTATCCAGCGTCTCTCCTTCTCCTGCCATAAGGCTACATCCTCCCTTCTTACCATCTGCAGGACTAAACCCCCTGTGCTGGTGTAGTTCTCGAGCAACATCCATGACCGGCAGTGTCTTAGCATCTCTGCACTGAGAGATTTTTCATCTGACTCCCTCCAGAGGCCTTCTGGAACCCACCTTATATGCATATGTTCCCGAGGTCCTCTGGAAACATTTCTAATTACCTTTTGGTCAAGAGGTCACTAAGAGAACCCCCCCTTCCTGGAGAATTATAGTTGAGATAGGTTTACAGCAGGTCATTTGCAATCTACTAGGCTCATCAGTACCTGAGAAATCTGTGATGTGGCTGCTGGGAAATGCCAGTGGGGAACAAATCTCCAGATGGTCACAAGTCAGCAAAGATGAACCCCTTTTAAGGTCCCATCACAGAGCTTAAAAGCTTATCCAGGAGTGAAATACTATGTAGCAGGTTAGGAGAGGGTGATCCTGGGGAGGATCAATAACACTCCCTCCCACCTATCACAGATTTGCCTTCTGCAGTTTTAGTTACCCATAGTCAATGGTAGTTTGGAAATATTACATAGAAAGTTCCAGAAATAAAGAATTCTTAAGTTTTAAATTACACGCTGTTTGATGTGTATATTAAATAGTGTGACAAAATCTTGAGAATCCCACTCTGTACTATCTGGGATACAAACATCCTTTTGTTCAGAGTATCCACATTGTGTATGCTACCTGCTCATTAGTCTCTTAGTAACTGTCTTGGTTATCAGATCCACTGTTAGGATGCCAAGTACTCATGTTCATCTGTATTTACTTCATAAGGCTCCAAAGTGCAACAGTAATGATGCTGATGATTTACATCACAGCCTTAGGGTACATCTTAGATGAAAAGCTGACAGTTCTTGACTTGATGAAGAAAGAAAAAAAATGTATGCTGAGGGAGGATGCCAAGATGGATGGTAAATTATTGTTCTAATCTCTGTGCCTAATTTATTAATTGAACTTGAGCATAGGCAGTTAGGTGTAGGGAAGTGTGGTCTGTGTGGGGTTCCGTACTACTGCCGTATCTGGCTGTCTTTAGGGTCTTGGAAGGTACCCCCGAGGAAAGGGATCTGCAATAGTCGGAGGCCTGTTTGTAATTCTGTCTATGGATGATGACCCATTAGAAATGACAAAAGAAGTTTGCACGTAGGTGCAAACACGTGGCTCCTGACTTGCACACAGGGCTTGGGCGGACCAAGGGGACAATGGCTGTGTCTGACAGGTAAGCCCATGGGTTCACTCCTTGTGCTCCACTAGTCTTGGGAGGTGACACTGGCTTGGCAAGACCTCTCTAGAGACAGAGGAGGAAGGCCTTAGGGGAACACCACCAGGGCCCTGAGGCTGCTCTTCTCATGTGTCTAACTTTCCTCTTCACTGAGATGTCTTGTCCTACGAGTTTTAGTTCCGTGACCTACATGTTTCGTGCTGGGCTCCAGTGAGAAGGAAACTTTTCTCGTGAAGAAAGTGTGGTTTAGCAGGGGCTGTGAGAGGGGCCAGCGACCTTCGCTGACATCGTGGGTCAGCCAGGGTTTATCGAGCTGAGGACCACGGTGCTCCCCAAGTGGACCCCCATTCCCTTGTCTGAGAATTTGCATTTCACACTGGCACAAAACAATGTCACGGGAGAACCAAACCTTCCCGGTCCCGGAACACTGGCCTGGGGAATCCGGCTGCAGCCTTTCCACCTTGAACTTTGAAGATGCATGGTTTTCTCGTACAAAAATAAGAGAGCAAGTTTATTTTCCTCCTCCTGGGGTAAGAGTAGGTTAGGGTTTTGGAGTGTGGGGCCAGGCCAACAAGTTTTGCAATGCAATGACCTCATCTGTATGAACTCAGATTCTGTGGTCTTAGGAGAAGGCCTAGAAGATTCATTAGAGGGCTTGTTTGGAACAATGACACTACTTTATCTCATTCGATGTGTCTTTGGTTCTTCACTCGTTGATTTAAAGATGTTTGTTTCCTGATTGATTACTTGAAAATGGGTCTCGGATGTTTTCATCACTGAGTCGTTTTTAATAACAAATATCTCAGTTACAAAAAAAGACAGAAAACCATAAAGGGAAAAATGCAAATGGCCTAAAATCAGCTGTTTAAAAGTCAGATGCAGGTTATTCAGCCTTTTGGCCAAGATCAAGGGTCAAGGGTCAAAATTAAATGCTGACAACACATACCTAGGTTTATTTATAAAAGTCAGTTCATATTATATAGACCATTAGCAACCAGTGTTTTCTGCTCATGTATTATGAAAATTTCCATGTTGTTCCACATTTTTCTCTATTGTTATTTCAATAGCTGCACAGTCGTTCCCTGTGCATAAGGTCATGATATATTGGGCCAGTCCTTCACTGTTTAGACAGTCAGTGTCTTTCCAGCTTTTTGCTTTTATAAACAATGCTTCAGTGAGCATCCAAATGCATGCATCGTTAGCCACAGTGATTTCAGGGACAGATGCTTAGAAGTGGAACTGCTGTCAAAGTTTATGCATATTTTAAAGGTTATTAATAGTTTTTACAATCTTTCCCTCCAAAAATGCTTTACCCCCACGGCCAGTGTGTCTGCTTGTTTGCCTGTCTTTCCTCCTATCAATAGGTATGATAAATTCAAGATGTATCTGCCAGTTTGGTGGCCAATGTTCCCAGTTGGTTGTGCTCCTCAGTTATTGGTAAGGACAAGGATTGAACCCAGGAGTGCTTAACCACTGAGCCACATCCCAGCCCTTTTTATTTTTGTTTTATTTTTTAAGAGACAGGGCCTCACTCTAAGTTGCTTAGGGCCTTGCTAAGTTGCAGACGCTGGCCTCGAACTTGTGACCCTCCAGCCTCAGCCTCCTGAGTTGGGGTGATGGTCGTGCGCCACAGCACCTGGCTCAAGCCTGTATTTTGAACATTACAAGTTGCTTCTGAAGGACACAATGATAGAAAGATCATGACATGCAGAGCAGACATTCTCTGTCCTGCCTCTCCACCCCCTAACCCCCAGGTGACTGCCATTGAAGGTTCGGGGCCTTCAAAGAAGGTGTGACTGGTCTTTGGAGCCTGGAGGCCATTGTCACTTGCTCCTGCTCAGGATGGGTGCAGAGCTGGTGGGTACGGCTCAGCTTACTCCACCCCCAATCAGCTCCCGTGCCCTCTTAGCCCAGGTTGGTGTGGCCTGCACATGTGTGTAGTGGGCCAGGAGGGCAGCTGGTGTGGACCTGGGCGGACCGAGTACAGGAGAGCCCTCTGGCCCAGCCCTCTCTCTCCGGGGGCACGAAGTCCGTCCTCATCAGTTTTTGTGGGGGTCAGACGTTCTAAGAGGGAGTGATGCCACATGAGGCTACTGTGCCACGTGGGGTGGGCTGTGCCAGGCTGCTCAGAGCCATGCCTGTCTCTGGCTTTGGAGATTGGCCCCAGGTAACACACCTGAGGCCTCCCAGGCAGTGGAGACAATATCCCAGGTCTGTCCTCCTGATGAATACTATAGGCTGTTCAGGGTCATGGGATGTCACATGGAACCAAGCCAGTCTCGTTGGATCACCCGGGAACAGCTCCACACCACCAGGTCCCCCAAGGAAGGTGGCCTGCTCTCTTCTCCTGCACCTTCCTGATTTTTTTTTTTTTGAATCAAGAAATTGCATTGAATGAAATATCGGTTTCATTTTCAGAGCATGCTGGTGTCTGATTTTTGTTCCTGTTCAGACTTTTAGAAAATATACAGGTTCAGGTTCAAGCTGATCTGCTTTTTTTTCTGGAAAAAACCACTTTGGTTTGTCCCACTGTTCAGTAACAACATTCATGCCTGGGCCCAGCTCAGGGTTCAGCTATCGGGCGTGGGTGTTTTGGTGGTGGATGGGCAGTGAGAGCCCTTGATGGAGACTGAACTTCTTCTGTTCCAGGCAGAATCGCTCGTCTGTTCGTGAGCTCCTTCTCGGTCCCTGAGGGCTGCCTCAGAATTCCCTGGGAGTGACAGTGACACCTCCCCTCCTGGCCCCATGGTGAATGGTCCTCTGTGTGAAGGGGATGGAGCTGGGCAGAAGCAACAGGACCAGCAGGCAAAGGGTGTGGTCAGCGCCCAGGCCTGGGTGGCCAAGAGAGGTGGCCCCACGTGCCTTCAAGTCCTTCCTGCCTGGACTGTGCCTCCCTGAAATCTGCTCAGGATGGAGGAGCCCGTGAGCAGGACTTGGGCGGAAATGATACAGGACCAGCCACGTGGGTCCAGAGGGGTCTGCGAGGCAGCGCGGTACCGTGCAGAAGTCTGTTCTCTTAAAGACCCCCTGTCCTGGCCCATGTCACTGGGCTGCCTCTGGCAAGTGGCTTATTTCCTTTAAGCTTCAGTTCCTCATCTCTGAAGTGGGGACACTGAGGTAACCACTGTCTTCCACCTGCAGGGCAGACGTGAGGCCCACCCAGGGCCTGAGGGCTGCAGACCTAGCCTGGAGCCTGGGTTAGGGTGAAGCACTGAACTCAGTGACTCTTGACCACCTTGGGGGACACACCACACATGCACGGACGGCGGCTGATGGATGACCAGTGGTAAAGAGCCTGCAAGTGGCGCAGATGGGCGAATGTTGCAGGAGTTCCGAGCAGGGTGGGTCCCCGAGGTAGGGGCAGAGGGCTGGCGTTCCGGAGGCGTGACCTGGGCCTGGAAGGAGAACTCTGTGCCCAGGAAGGCACAAGCCTGGCCTGTTCCTCTCAGGCCTGGGAAGAGCTCCATAATCATCCACCCTCCATCAAAAATGCTGCCCATCGTTGACCCAGACGTCGTGTGGCGTGTGACTGCATTTATTTGGTTCTCCTCTGATGGGCCAGTTCCAAGCCACCCACTCACTCTGGGAAACTTCAAACAACATGGCCTAAGGATTTCTTGTTGGTGGCTCCCAGGCAGACAAAAACAGCCATGTCCCTCAGTGGGGACAAGGTCCTATACACCCTTTGTGTCATTTTGGCCACAGACCAGGAGAAGCTTCTCCAGAGTGACCACCAAGGACCTGGCACCCCTTCCCTCTGGCGCTAGGTAGATACCTGTTCATGGCAGCGCAAGAGCAAGGCTTCCTGGCTGCCCACGCGGGACAGGAAGGAGCCGCGTGCGCTGTGTGTTCCTGGTACAGCGCCGGGCCCTGCCGGGATGGTCTGGGGAGCTGTCTGCTCGAGTTCCACGTCGCTGGACGTGGCAGTTGAGCTGGTGACTGTGGAACGTTCTAGAAGAGGAGTGGGGTGGGACAAGGCGAGCTTGAAGCTGGAGGAGCCCGGTGCCTGGATCAGGGCAGCTGAGATTCCAGGTTGCCCGCTGCCAGCCTGCATGACACCTCCGCTGTCTGTCTCCCCAGCCGGGGCCAGTGTGACTTCCCCTCCACGTGGGACGACGCTGGGGGGTGGGTGTCCTGGCAACAGCCTGTTAGGGTCTGTAAACAAGTCAAGATGGCGCCTGGCATTTTGCCAGAGGGAGTGGTTTGTGAAGTAACACCAGCGAGCCATTAAGTGTGGAGATTCCTTAATGACTGACTGCTGTATCTAGTTTATGTTAATTAGATAAGCTGTGTGGAATGTATACATACCCCTCCTGTCCTACAATAAACGGCTCCCTCTCCTGCTGTATCAATGTACACAAGTTGCTCGTCACCCCCCGGTTATTTTGCTGCAGCCGGACTGCGGCAACAGCCCATTCCTGGAGGGAGAGCAGGGGCGGAGGTCAAGCAAGACTTTGTTGGACAGTCCCAGGAGGGTCGCCTCCACCACACCCTGCAGGGGACCTGGGAGTGCCAGTCACTTCTTGGAGCTGGTAGAGAGCTGGGCCGCAGACCCCGTGACCTTCAGATGTCATCGAATGGCCACCCGAGGAAGGCAGACTACCAAACACCTGTTTCAGGTTCAGATTTTCAGAAACCAACAAGAACACACCTAGAAGGGGCCTTGGGGCCACCGAGCAGCGGGCGGCACTGCGGGAAGGGGCCTTGGATGGCGGGCCCTGCATCCCCCCAGCACCCCAAGGTGGCTCTAGCAGCACCCAGGGCCTGCCTGGGCCTGTGGGCAGGGGTGCGAGCCCCGGCTGCCTCGTCCACAGGAGCAGTGCCTGTCACAGCGGGAGGGAGGACAGATGAGGTAACCCTGGTGGCCATCGCGTGACAACAACCTGGTGGAGGTGTAGGGAAGAGGACGCTGTGCCTCTGACGGGTCCTGGCCCCGAGTTCGCCCTCCACCTCGCCTCCGGCACTGCCCTGCCGGGGTTCCTCCAGGGGCCGCTGACCACATGGCTGCGTAGGACCATCAGCTTCAGGGGACGGCAGAGGGGGCCTCAGGCTTGGCTCTCCACGGCAGGGGACTGTCACTCTGCAGGTTCAGCTTCTCAGAATCCCAGCCCTGAGGGAAAACGTGAGAGGGGAAGGAATCTGTGCAGACAAGGCGCTCCTCCGGGTGCCTGAGGCTGGTGGCTTCTGTGTCTGCTCTTCCTTTTCCTGTAACATGTCCCAGCCTCCTTTGCCCCTATCTGGGGTCATTTGACTAAATTCTGCCAGATAAGTACAATAAGGAATGTCACGCGGTAATCCCAGGGGGGATCATTCTATACCCTTCCTGCTGGCTGCTTGGAATGCACACATGATGTCTGGACCAGAGCAGCTGTCTTGGACCATGAGGTGACATGCCAAGGAGGGTGAATCATGAAAACAAGAAGGTGACATAGTCAAGCCACCATATCCACCCTGGGTTGTCTGTCTCTGGAATTCTTTTATGTAAAAACAGAACTACATTTCTATCCTACTTGAACCTATTATTCGAGAGCTGGCTAGCAGGAGAGAGTCTTGTGTATGGGTTAAACTGATCCAGCCACGATCTCGCCTTTCTGTCTTAGAGACTGGCAGCCTGCAGAGTCGAACTCTGGATGTCTAAGGCCAGAGTAGAAACACCAGAGGCCCCAGGGTGGTGACGCTCTCTGCACTGGCTTGGGCTGCTGCCGCTGGCTGCCTGGCTGAGCTCCTGCTTTTGGGCCAGAGCAGGGAGAGAGATGGACAGGGTGGGGGGAGAGGTGGCTCTGACTGGTGCTGGCCAGGCGGGCCGCCAAGAGCTTGCTCTGAAAAGGGAACAGGTTTCACATGGACAAGATGGAAGGACTGCCTGTTCCCTCTGGAAAGTTCTATTAAAACGACCAACCCAGACGCACTTTAATATTAATGGGAAATTCCTCCCGTTGTTTATGAAATCATTTTAGAGTTGATTTTAAAAAGAGAGGGGGGAGAGAGAGAGAAAGACAGAGAGAGAGAGAGAGAGAGAGAGAGAGAGAGAGAGAGAGAGAGAGAGCGCTGTTTGTTGGCTAAACGAAGCCCAGACGATTATTTATAGACGCATCTGAGTGGCTTGGTTTAATATGGAGCAATGTCTGAAAAGAGCCACTTTGACACCGGTAAGCGCTCCTGGCACTAAGAATAAATTTATGAATGTCTTTTATGAGAGTCAACAAACTAGACCAATAACCCCACAGAGCATCTTTCACGCAGAGAACCAGAACAAAGCGGCCGTATTCGTCATTCGTCCTGGGCAGGAGTGGCCGGATGCTGGGCCCGGCTAATGGGATTTCTCTGGGCACGGCCACGGTGGCAGGCAGATGCCCGGTTTATTTCCATTCCCCCACTTGTCTGATTTGTCTGAGCAGCTAAATATCTCTTTCCCAGGAGAACATCTGCTCTCTTAAAGGTGGGAAATCAGGAAGGCCCCTGAGCTGTGAGTGGGGCGCCCACCCTCACCAGAGACACCCCAGACCCTCCTCAGAGGTGGCTGCTGGGGTCTGTGCCTCATCTCAGAGGGGACCGTGCCTCCCCAGCCCGTGCAGGCTCGGGATCTTACCTGGGCGGCGACTCTCTGCACAGTGTGGACTCTCTGCTGCTGGCCCTGGGCTTACAAGCAGGTGGATCCTCTGGAGTCCCCTTCCCTTGGTGTCTCCTGCCTAGTGGTCTTCCTGCTGACAGGAACGTGCCCCGGCCGGAGTGGAAATAAATGCACAGAAATGCAGAGGAGCAGAACCCCAATATGAGGGGAGAACTTCAAGTTCATCATGGAAAGGGAACGTCATGCATGTGAAGGAGACCGCCTCCTCGAGGGATCAGCCAGGACCCTATGCACACGAAGCCCACCCCCACCACGGAGCTGCACCCAGCCCACTTCCCCTTCCCGTCAGCCCTGCTGCATCAGGGCCACACGCGCACGGCCCCATCTTAATAAGATCTCGTCTCTAGATACAGTGTCACTCTGAGGGCCCGGAGTTGGGATTGAAGATATGAATTTAGGGGACTCATTTCAGCCCATAGCCACCTCCTTCTCTCTTTCTATCTGGGTTTCTTCTTGCTGGAGGGTTCCCTGACCCACCCAAGGCCCGGGGAGGTGTGGGGGTGCTGGGGCCCTGGGGACAGGAGGGGCCTCACGCACCCCTGCAGTCTCTCTGCCTCCTCAGCACTGCAGAGGGGTTTCTGTCCTCCTGTGGCGGGAGAAGCCCTGTCCTGCAGGCTGCCTCTTCCTGACGGCAGTGATGTGTTCAGACACCACACGGCGCCTTTGCAAGAGAAGCTCTTCAGAATCCAGCCACCCCTTTCCTCAACGCAGCCTCATTTTCAAACCCCTTTCTTGCTGCTGCCATGAGAAATCTCGCTTGAAACTCAAAGCTCAGCCTTTGCACGGCCCTCGGAGGCCACGGGTGGATAGAGAGTGACTCGGTGATGCCGTTGACAGGTGCGTTCAGAATGATGGTGATTTCTGCTTCCTAATCATTTGATTGACGCATCCACACTGGAGAAATAAGAACTCTGGAAATATTTCATTTGATTCAGAATTTTTAAGTTTCTTTTAGGATCAAAAGAAAATGTGCTGTAGGAGAAGACACATGTGGCCAGCCGGTGTGCTGTTCTCAGACTTGGAAAAAGGATTAAAGAAACAAATCATGCTTCGACTGGATGTCCAAAGGCATATACCATTATTGTTTTAGCACTTTCTTCCAGTCTTTTTTCCGTGACTAATTTTGGGGGTTATTTTAGACTTATTACTATTTTTTAAAATTTGGTAATAATTTTAAGGTTAAAAAATAGGAAATGCACAGGGAGAGGCCCCGCAGCCATCCCTCACGAGGGGTCACTTGGGCCAGCTTCTTAGACACCTATTCTATCACAGTTTCTTGGATCTCTTATTTCTACCCCCTTTTTACACACAAAAAAATTACAATATCCTGCACACAGGGAACTTTCCAGAACACAGAGCGCTTTCCCCTCAGAGTTTCCTTGGTCCCTCCCTAGAGTCTGGACTCGGGGGTCTCTTCCTGCTCAGCTGTGACACGGGGGGGCCCACACCTGCATTGCTGAGATCCAGCTGTGGCTGCGATGGGGCCTTGGAATGTACATCAGCTGACCTGGTAATGACCCTGCCTGGTAATGAATCTCCGCTCAGGCTGGACGACGGATGTGCGTCCGCGACCCCAGCCTGACTGGTGGGGACAAGTGTCTGTCTGAGCATGTTCACTGAGTTCTGGTCCTCACCTTCTCTGAGTCCAAAGGCACAGAGCACGGTCCATGCAGCAAGTGGTGTTAACAGGTGAGCCACCTTGAGCAGCCAGGGGCAGGGGAGACCTCGGTGCCCTGGGAGCTGTTCTTCCTGGGTTCTGGAAGGTCCCGAGGCCGGAGAGAGCATGCGAGGGACCCTGGGAGGCAGCCTGCGCTGGGTTAGGAGGCTGGGGCACAGGACGCGCTGAGCCCGCGTGGACGGACAGCCTGTTTCTTCAGGACCCAGCGGGGCGGCTCCAGCCAGTCTCGAGGTGTCGCATTTCCAGCACATTCTACACATATTCTCGATAATTACAAACAAGAAAGGAGGGGGACTGGGCGGCTCCAGGATCGGCCTGTAGTCCCACATGACTCCAGCTGGCCAGGACCCCCTGGTGCTAGCGGGGTGCCCGTCTTTACCTGCGGGCTGGCCGCCTTGGGACTGGCCGTCTTTGCCACCGCTCGGCGGGGCCGGCCTTTAGGAGAGACGCAGCCAGTACTCAGAAGTGGGGAGAGGAAAGCTGGGGCGTCCTTGGAGTCTGGGGTGCAGTCCTGCCCTGAGCCGTGCCTTCGCTGAGTGGTGAGGGGTGAGCTGCCTTCCTCCTCAGCTAGGAGTCCTAACCGCCCACTCATTGGACCCTGAGATCCCCGGAGAGGGATGGGAGCTCCCCGGCCCGTGAGGGTTGCCAGCTTAGGCCCTGGAAGCAGACGGTGGGGTCGCCTCTGATTCTGCCCCGTGGTTGTGGCCTCGGGCAAACCCTGCAACCCACGCCCATCTCTGCACCTGGGGTTGACTGGTGTTGCCCGCCCCTAGGCATGTCTAGTGCGTCCAGTGTCCAGTGCGTGGTGAGCGCCTCGCAAAGGCTGTCATTGGCCTGCACCTCACCTGCATTCCACAGAGCACGTGGCCACTTCAGCAGCCCCAGCGTCACCCTACCAGTCCTGCTGCTCCTCCTCTCACGGTCAGCCTTGCCCACGGCTCATCTGAGTGCCAACAGTGGGGGGTCAAGATGGCGGGGAACCGCCCGCCATCTGGCTTTTCCATCAGCAGATTGAAAGGTTCAAGGCCGGGCAAACAGACCAACTGTGGCTCCCAGTGAAAGGCAGGCGATAGAGCAGACGTTTCGGGTGCACCCAGAACGTGGGCCCCAGACAGAGGCCATCTTGCTTCCTCCTGGGTTTCTCTCCTCAGGACTGCCTGCCTCCCCAGGGACACAGCATGTTGCATTTTCAATCCCTGGATCAGCCTGCTAGGGCTGCCTCTATGTACTGGATGGTTTAAACCAAAGAAATGCATTTCCTTACAGTTCTGCAGGCTAGAAGGCCAAGGTCAAGGTGCCCCAGGTGGTTTCTGGAGAGGGCTCTCTGCTTGGCTTGTATTT